GTTTGTTGTGCGCAGGCAACAGCGATTCCTGCTACAGGTTTTTTATTTTAAAAATATTAAAATAAAATTTTAAAAAGTTTGTCCTGATGGAACTCAAGCAGGCTAGTTTATAAATTACAAATATTAATTCCGAAAAGTTTAATTTTTTATCTTCAGCAGGCGCATGCGTTAATGGACAATGCGGTGCAGGTATAAAATTTAAAGATAAAAATATTAACTAGTATTTTACAAAAAAAATTTTTTTTATTTTTAAAGGGTTTACATGTAATCAAGGACTTTGTTGTTCAAATTCTTCACAAACACCTAGATGTTTAGACGGGTATAATTCTTTTAATTTAAGAATAAATTTTTTTTAATTTTAAAGAAGTCAATCAATCGGTGCTTGTATTCAAGGAAGATGTGGAACAGGATATACATGCACAACAGGAAATATTTGTTGCCCCTCTCAATTAAATCGTTCAGTTTTTTTAGTATTTAATTTTTTTCAAAAATTTATTTAAAGCATGTCCACCTGGTCAAGTTTCTATAGGACTAGCAGTAAATGGTAAAACAAATTAAATAAAAATTTTTAAAATATTTATTATTTTAGGAAGATGTCCGACTGGTTACACACTAGTTAATGGACAATGCTGTGGTACACAAAGCAGTCAAGCACAAATTTCGTGTCCGCAAATTGATTCGAGTGGTCCTTGTGACCGAAATCAACAATGTTCAGAACCAGGCTATGCATGTGATATATCAAATAATTGGTGTTGTCCACAGGTTTTTTTGAAATTTTTAATTGAAATTCTTTAATTTCAAAAAGGTATTTGAAAATGAGGACCCAATCGGTCCGTGTATAGAAGGTGAAGGTGGCACACGTCTTTGCCCTGAAGGTTAAATGTTCTAATATTTTAAAATATTTTTTTTCATAAATTTAGGCTATGCATGTGTTGGAGATGGAGAAGGCGAGTGTAGAAGATTAGGTGAGTAAATTTTATATACATAGAAGAAATTTTGGAATATGTGATTGATGTCATCACTCAAGATCATTTTAATTAAAATTTAGATACTGGTACGTGTGCTCCAGAAGAACAACTTGGACCTTGCGGTCCAAACAATGAATGCCCTGCAGGCTATGAATGTATAGAAGGGTTTTGTTGTAGAATTGATAATGGAGGAAGAAGTGGAAATACAAGACGTTATAGGAGAGGAATCATGAAATTAATTTACATGTAAAAAGGAAATACTAATAGATTGTAAATAAATTGCTATAAAATTTTAAAATTAAAATGATTCTTAGTCATGCTATCAGCGAACTGGGTTTAGTCTAAAGCGAGTGATTGTTGATTTCTCTATCTCTAAATTAACGTCCGGCTCGAACGGACCCAAACCGGGTCTCACATGTAGTCGGAGAATAATAGGAATTTGAAATCTATCAAAATTGTCATTATGCAACTTTGAAAATAAATGACGTTTAATCTCCGAAGTTAGAGAAATTATAAAAAAGAAATAGTGAAGTTAGAGAAAGGCAATTTAGGTCGGTTCAGTGTTAATTGTTGAGTGCGAACTTCCTAAAGTTAAAATCGATAATCGATATATCACACTTAAGTGCAAACTTGTTGTTTTCGCGGTCGTCCACTTTTAACTTGCCGTACCTTTGAAACTTTTGCCTTTGGATATATAGATCTGTAAATAAATTTTTTTCATTTCCAGCTTGATCTATACTTAATTAAAATTGATATTATTTCTGACTTACAATCTTAACATTGTTAATTAAAAATGCAATCTGCTGAATTGGCTATACGTACAAATACTTATTCACTTAGAGCGCGTAAACAAATATCATTTGATCGAGATTATTCTCCACCTGAACAACCTCCAAAAAAACGTCCTAAGGTTCAAACAACACCAAAGAAAGTAGCAGTAACAAAGAGAGTTCCAGTATCAAATGTTGCAAAATTTGCGACTCCGGCATTTGAAGACGCTTACTTTATTGCTTTGAAATCAGGAAAATCTGCTAATGTAATTTATTTTTTAAATAATTTTTCTAATAGTAGGGGGAAAGGGTAATGTGTTATTTCCTTAAGGTCTTTAAGCTCTTTTCCAATAATTTCTGCTTTGAGGCGATTTTTTCTACTAAACTTTTTCTTTTAGTCACTTGTCGAGAAATGGATGCGTGAATATGAGAATTCTCCTGACCAAGCAATCGCTCAGTTTTTGCAGACTATTGTCGCATCATGTGGCTGTTCTGCTAAATTAGATGTAAACATGGTGCATAACATGGATATGAAGTTAGTTTATTTTCCCTTTAAAATATAAAATTTTTGTGACGAGTGGCGATAGTTCTAATAACTATTTACAAACTCTGAAATAGATCTAATTCTTCATATTTTGTTTTCAGTCTCATTGTTACTCGAATTAGTGAATATTTTGACGAGGAGTCCTGTGACTATCCATTAATGATGACCTCTCCGCAGTGGAAGCGCTTCCGAAGTAATCTTGGAGACTTTGTTACAGTGAGTTTCTAAAATATTTTTATTTTCGCTAGATTTTTTAATTGATTATACACATTTTAGTTATTTGTTTGTCGTTGTAAAAATAATATTCTCTTTGATGTTACTCTTATGGATAGTCTTATTCAATTACTCGCTAGTCTTTCTTCGAATGCTATTCGTGCCTTCAGACACACTGCTACCTTTGTTGGTTAGTATAGTTGAATAGATTTATTTTTATATTTAAAAAAAATTTCAGCAATGAAGCTTTCTAGCGCCATTGTAGATGTTGTTGTTGATCTGGAAAGTCTCCGCGAAAAGAACTCTATGCAGGTGGAAACGGAAAAATCAAAATTATCACAGACTGGAGCAAATGAGCGCATGGAGTTATTGTTACAGGCTCGAGCAGATGTTTGTTTTTTAAATTATTTTTCCTTAATTCAATAAAAGTAAGATCTTTTGACTTATAAAGTTTTTGGCTAATACTTATATTAACATTTTATTCTTTTTCAGTTTGATTCAAAAATTGAAGAATTATCTGCAATGACACAGTACTTGTTTCGTTCAGTTTTTGCACTGCGATATAGGTTTTCTTTTTAATTTTTAAAACTACATATTCATTTATTGTAGGGATATCGTTCCAGATATTCGTATTATTTGTCTTATCGAGCTTGGTAATTGGATGCAGGCCCATCCTGCTTTATTTTTGAATGATAGCTACCTTAAATATTACGGATGGTGTATGTCTGACAAGGTAAATCTAAAAAAAATTTTCGCTATTTATTTTTTGTTTTAAAGGTTTCAGAAGTGCGATTATGCTGTCTTAATACATTGTTGCCTTTGTACGAGAATGTGGAGGTGATTGGGCGATTAGAGCTTTTTACAAATAAATTCATTAATCGTCTTGTCAGTATGGTGAGAGATACTGAAATTGAAGCTGCTACAAAAGCTTGCCAGCTTTTAACATTAATTTATCGGTAAGAATATTTAAATTCATCGTGTTAAAGGCATTCTTTGAAAAAATTCTTTTTAATATTTTTTAGTGTGTTTCCTGGAATTTTCACGCAGCAAAACTGTGCTCTAGTTTATGAAATGGTATTTTGTAATAATCGGCAATTAGCCGTTTCTGCTGCTGGTTTTGTTAATGAAAAGCTTTTTGCTCCGTCTCATTCATCAAGTGATATGGAGTTGGAATGGCATTCACAACAATTTGAACTTATTAAGCAACTTGTGACATTTTACAAGGATGGTGGAGTTCATACACATCCTGCTTATTTGGTTGATTCTTTTATCGATATTTGTCCCATGTTGCGTGATTGGGGTTCGATGGTCGGCATTCTACTTGATAATGAAAGTAAATTAATTACTTTTCATAATTTTTAACAAAAATATTATCGTTTTCAGCTTATAATGACGATGGTCGTTTAATCGCAATAATGAGTACGGCTGTGAGACAAGCTGCTACCGGTGAACATCCACCTAACCGAATTGTAGTTTCAATTCGAAGAGGACCTGGTGCTGGAACAGAGAAGAAAGATCTTCGGCTCTTGCAGGAAGAACGTATTCGAATTTCTGAAGTGTTTATTCCCACTCTTCCTCGTTTATTGTCAAAGGTTATTTTTGCATACGACCCTCATTTAACAATTAAATTGTAGTTTATTGCTGACGAAGAAAAGGTGCTAAATCTTCTTGATATCTTTTTGCATTTTGAATTGGAAATATACTCTGCTGGACGTTATGAACAGGTTTATTCTGATTCTGTAATATTTAACTCTGTTTTTAGGGCCTTAATGAATTTATGCAACATATTGGACGAATAGTTGAACAATATTCAAGTGATGATGTTTTGAAGAAAGTGTCTGAAATCTTCCAATTCATCTCAAAGAATACGGCAATAGCTCAATTTACTGAAACAACTCGTGTTCGTATCATTGATGGAGTTGCCAATCAATTACGATTGCAAATTCAACAACACATTCAGCAATACAACAATGTCGAACGACGAGACAGCAACGAGCAGGAACGCGAAGAGGAAGAAGCATCTCTGTTATCAAACTATCGGCGTATGGTTGCATTTACAGCGTGAGTTTTTTATTTTTATATACCAGAAATTGTTCGGCTAAACAATTCCTAACCTAGTTAATATTTCACAAAATACCTTTTATTTTTTTAGATCAATTGACATTCCAGCAAAATGGGATTTGTTTGATTTGACTTTTTCACTACTTAATGGACCATTATTGAAGCCTGACTTGTCGGATAAGGCCATCTTGCTTTGTTATCAGTCACTAATGTGGGATGCGAAAAAACTTGCCACAAACACTGTAGAATTGAAGGAGGTTTGTTTTATTTTATCAACTAATCTTTAATTTTTCCATTTTAAAGAATTATATCGAATTTATACGCAAGAGAAGGGATCAATTTATTAGGGGTGCATCATTAATTCTGAGGGATCAAGTTTACGGTGTTATTAATGTAAGAGATCTTTAGATAATATTTTGTCTTCTAATGTAAATCTTTTATAATATGTAGGCTTTCTCATGTCTTTGTGACGTTCTGTTAATGTACAACTGGAAAATGGTTTATTTCTATTTAGTATTTAGATTATCAACTTATTAATTTTTAGGCGTGTGAATATGAACCCGAGCATCCTGCACATTCGTTGGCCATTAAGCTTGATAAAGAAACAATCATTCGCCTCTCTTCTTTTGTTTTAGACAATGTTTTTTATGGGCGCGAAGATACTATGGATGGTATATATTTTTTGGATTTTTTTTACCAATTTTTAAATAACTTTTCGAATCTTTAGAAGGTAATTTACAAATTCTTGCGTTGTCACAACGACGTAAAATCCTTGCTCATTATGTCAAATTAATTACTTATGGTCTCATTCCAATTATTGAAATTTCACCACTTATTCGCAACTTTATTAAGGTATTCCTAAATATGCAATCTTCGATTTAAAAAATTTTTTTGCAGTATTATACTGACTTTGGTGATATTTTCAAACATCTCTTGTCAAAATGTCGAGAATTAGATAAGGTGATGACTGCAAAAGCTATTGTCCACTCCTTGGCTTATTTGTTTGACGAATTTAAGGTATTTCAAAATAATTATTGGGAATTTTTTCATTTATACTTTTAGGAAGCCTTTGAACAAGATGCTAACGACTTTCAATCGCTGAGAGAATTAGGCAAGAAGTTAGCACTCTCATTTGGCGTTGACAATATCAAAAATCGTGAAGCTCTTGCAACAATTCATCATGTTTGTTAAATTTTCTAAAAACATTAAATCATAATTGTATTTAGGACGGAATCAAATATGCGCTTAAACTGGATGTACGAAAACCAAAAAATGCTCAAGAGCGGTTTGAGAATTTTGCCTTCTTCGAGATCTTACAAGAATTTTCACCAAAACTTCATCGGCAGGACAAATTAGCTGTGTAAGTTTCATAAACTTTTGACATTTTAAAGTAATTTTTAATTTGTTTATTTAGGCTTAAATATTTGGACAAAAATTGCAAGCAAGATGATCAAATTAATGAAGATGATGATAACTGGAAAACTTTCCTTCTCTACAGGTTAGAAATTTCTTATAAATAGGAACAATTTCTTATATATTTTAGAAACTCACTGGCCAAGACTGAGTAAAACTTAAAGAATCTTTGGCAGTACCTACAACCCAATCTCTTACATTATTTTCGATCTCACTCAATGCATTTCTAAATTAATAGTACGTTATACACTTGAACTGGAAGGTTAACCCTGCTTCAAAACCAACGCCATATATGTAAAAGTCATTCTTGGCGAAGAATTCGAAAACTGAAAGTTTCAACTTGATTAGTGGTAGTTGGTTTTGATATTGGGTTAAGTAAAATTTATTGTTTGACCTATTTATACTTAATTATTTTAGCATAAACTATAAACGATTCTCAATTTTCATTTAACTTCATTCTAAACTTTATATTATAATTTTCATAAATTACATGAATTTCGGAAACAAGTCTTTATAATGGGAATTAACAAAGGTCGATCACAATTTGCCATGTTCACACATGTCTTAATTTATTTTATAAACAGCTTACTTTCTCACAATCAGCTTCTTACAAATCAAGAGATGAGGGAACGTATCTCGCGGTGTATTAGGCAAAGGAAGTCTACATAAGAGTGGGCATTATTCGCATATCGATCCTCAACCAAAAATTTCTTCATCCACGATTCTAATGCATCTTGTTCCTTCACGATGAATAACTTCAGTGCCCTCTCCCTGTTTTCATTTAAGTGTGTCCAAAGGTGACGCAACGCTTGTGAACAGTCATTGTCATAGAAAGGCAACTGGTGCTAAATGATCGATGTTTAGTGATCATTTTAAAAATATACCTTTTCTGTGTCCAATTGTGCAATCGAGGAAACGTTGAATACGTCTTTCAGCCTAGAAAACAGCCGTTCAAAGCTATCTGATAAGAACTACTTACCAGCTACTTGGCACACCAGAACCAACCCATATAAAAGCAACCAAACCATTATCAATTAAATAGGCCTCATCTGGGGAGAAATAGTCAAATGATGCACGAATTGGCGCCGGGAAGTCTGGAGAACCTTAGAGATGTATTTTTAAAATTATTGGATAAGAAAATGACAACCTTGCATTTTCGTCACACATCCACTATCGTTTTTAAGTGATTCAGTACTGCCACTGCTGTTTCCAACAGAAGAACAGAGGGAAGTGATTATGTAGATACGTGGATATAGGAACTGTTGGATTGCTAGAGGAGTCATAGAGGGAACTAAGCTCATCATCCAGGCGCGATCATCGACTGTTAATTCCGCACCTATATATAAAAAAAATTAACATAAAAATATCTAATATTCATAAGTTTTAACCTCCATTTAATGAATCATGCCTTACAATGCAATTGATATGGAGTGGAAGAAGTTTTGCAAATTCAGGCAAGATAAGTTGCCCCATAGGTGCGGGCTCGCTGCATTTTTCACGGTATGCAGCTAGGATCTGTGCAGCACGCAAAGTCAATTCATCACGCATCTCCTTTGGACATTTGTCGCGTACAGTTTGCTCGGCTGGTATTAAAGATTACACAGAAAAAAACTATTTTTAAAAATACCTTGTTTAAACAAATGGCTAACCAAACAATCTTCATCTAAATGACGATACAACTAAATATGTTTTATTATTTTTAAACTTGTATAAAGTCACATGCCTTTTGATAATCTGCAGTGACGGGCAATGAAAGCTAAAAATAGAATAAATTAAAATTTTCCCCCATCTTAATAAAAGAACATTATGAATCCGTAGTCGTCGCTGTCCACTACAACTGGTGAAGAGAACAGCCAATTGAAAATAAGCAGGTTCACGCTCATCCAATTTATCATCGTATTTAATTTCTATTTGAACAGATTTATCACTATCAATTGCACTCAACTCAACATCCGTAGTATTTTGCATATAAAAATTACCAAAGAAACCAGTAGGACGAATCCCTAGAAATTTACGAGTTAATTTCAAATAACATACGTCTAAAAATACCCGTAGAAGTTCGCAACCGTAACATCACATCAAAAGCAATTTCGCGACTTATTCCATGTCGCAGATCGCTTAAAAAGCGAACCCCATCTTGATCAGCCTAAAAACAAATTAACTTATTATTAGGCGATAAAATAAAAAATAAAATGTAAAAATCAAAAATAACAAACATCAAAATATTGGTATTTGTAGATTGAACCACCAGTTGTTGCAACTACAGGTGAAATACTTGCAACATCAATAAAAGCATTGGGAAACAGATAAACATCGACTGCACAACCATATTTTACACAATCTTCTCCAAGTTTTCCATAAAAATCTACAGCAGGCGTAAGAACAGTCTAAATAAAAAGGAAATTTTTTAAAAACAAAAAATAGTAAACACCTTTTCTTTGTCTGTCCCGAGAAGTTTGCGTTCTTCTCTATTTTTAAGCTGGCCAGGTGCAGCAAGAGTTGGTAATGACGAGTGAAAAATAAAAAGCTTGCCTGATCTAAATTTTAAAAATAAGAAAATACGGGGTAACTAATAAAAAAATTCAAGAAATTTTAAAAACCTTTCAGAATTTTTGAGTGCATCTAATCCAGCTTGAATAACAGGACCAAGGCCAACTAAAATATTAAATAAAATAAAAATTTAAACAAAATAAACCTTCGGTAATACGAGTATTATAGAAATTGTTGATAATCTCACGAAGACAACTTTAATTTATTTTTCAAATTAATTTTTCTTTTAATAAAAACCTAGTCAACGCTTTTTCAGCTGCTTGAGGCTCTACAAAGAAACCTTTAACAAAAGGCACAAAAATGTCTGAAACATCATTAACAACAAGCATCTCAGCATGCTCCGGATGATTTAAATTATAGAAATGCACCGATTGATCATAAGTAGCCAAACCAATAAGCATAGTAGATTTATTAGATAAATTATCTCTAGAAAATAATTAAAAATAATTTAAAAATAAAGTAAATAAACTTCGGCAAATCGCGCAGAATTTCAACAATATTTTTACAGAAAAGCTCAACTAAACCACTTCGCACAGAATTATAAGAAACATCAAGCATAAAAATAAAAGCAGGTTGTTTCGGTGGAATCCCATTCTTCAAAAAAAGTATAAAATTGAATAAATAAACGATACCAAACCTTGCAATATTGTTTTGTCGCCATAAATTCGTAAGAACCAAGAAAGAGTTCAGGTCGGTGTTGAATATCAGTTCGACGGCCAGAATGATCCAAATGTGCAAAATATGCGTCTTGAACTATTAATATAAGCAATTAGAAAAGATGTAGGATTTTATGAAAACTACCTGCGGAGTTAGCCTTACAAAAAGGACATCGAAATTTTCGTCCTCCGTCAATAAACTCCATAAATGGACACATATAAGCTTTACAGCGTTGACAACGAACAGGTCCTATGTCACCAAGATTAATGAGTGGAGGAGGATACTAAAAATGTTTTAAACAAAATATATGTAAATATTTACCTCAGATTGATGTAATTTGGCAAAAGGTGTCAACGCTAAAGATAGCGGCAAATGTGTAGCTTTTGTAATATCATTGCTTAGCGGAACAGAATAAATTGTTGAACGAATAAATTTTGGATTTGAATTACCTTAAATGAGGTTAATTAGACAGGTGTAATAGACCAGAGAAGAATCGAATTACATAGGTCTTATTTTATTTTGCTTTATAATTGGTCTATTACAACAGTTTTAAATCAAAAAATAATAAAAAGAAACCCTGATCCTGAGCAACAAATTCAGTTGTAGTTAATGGAGGCAGTTCAGCTTGCGGAAATCCAGTCGGAAAAAGGCCAGATCGTGAACTTCGATCATCTTCTATAACTTGAATCTGAATAAGAATTTAAAATTAAAATTTTTAGATTGTTAATACTTACAATACTTGGGACCATTTCTGGATCTAAGCGTTGCTTCTGAGGTTGCGGAGGGCCTGGAGGAAAGCCTGATGCATGAGAAGGAGGAAAGCCTCCTGCAGGAGCTGGTGGAAAGCCTCCTACAGGAGCTGGAGGAAAGCCTGATGCAGGAGCAGGAGGAAAACTTGCTGCAGGAGCTGGTGGAAAGCCTCCTACAGGAGCTGGAGGAAAGCCTGATGCAGGAGCAGGAGGAAAACTTGCTGCAGGAGCAGAAGGAAATCCAGCTGCAGGAGGAAAAGCTCCTGGAGGAGCAGGAGGAAATCCTGTTAGAGGAGCAGAAGGAAAACCTGCTCCAGTGGTAGCTGTAGGTGGTACAAATCCAGCAATGGAAGACGGCGTCATTTGTTGCGGTGCATACTGTTGTTGCAACATTTGCTGTTGGTAGTTTCCAATGTGATTTGGCATAACACCAGGTTGTTGCTGTACTGTGTTTGGATCAAAGTTTTGTCTAGGCGGTTGTGGTGGTACTTGAGGAACACTTGGAAATGGCTGTGGATGTGAAGGTGGTTGTTGTGGCGGATATTGCATTGGATAAGCATTTGTCGCTAATGACGGTTGTTGTTGAGGGATTTGCTGTTGATGTTGGTAATACATTTTATCACTGAAAAGTGGGGATAAAATTAAATTCTACAATTTATTAAGATTAAGATATTTTTGTAAAACAAATACACGTCAGTCAGCGACCAAAGAGTCCAGCTGGGACAAGGACACTTTACAATGGCCACTTTGTCGCAAGAGGTTAAAAAAGGAAATATGAACAAATTTTTGTATAACCTTGAGAGACCATGCAATGTTACAATATTGCGAAAGAAGAGTGGGTTAATTCAAATTGGGACACGCCCGAAACGGCGCGGGCCAAAACGGCGCGACCGAAACGGCGCGACCGAAACGACGCAGGCCGAAACGGCGCAAGGCCAAAACGGCGCACGGCCCAAAACGGCGCAAAAATTTCCTATAAGCTACATATTGTTAAGTGAGGTTTAGCTCGAATGGTGATCGTATCTTTTGGTGATGTGAACAAAAAATAGCAGATGTAAAGGTCGCATTTGGACAACATCTTGTGATAACAGATTGATAACAAAAAATTAAGAGTGATAACAAAACTATTTAGATCGTATACTTACTAGTAAGTATAACTGCGAGAAATAACTGCGGGATTCAGATAGTTCCAATATAACTATATTACTAGTTAGTTTCCCCTATAACTACATATATTACTAGTTAGTTCCCCCTATAACTATATAGTTATCCTCATATTATCACTGTAACCATCTAGACTTGGTTATTTTTATTCTGGTCGTTGATGTCGGAACATTTCAACGCTGCTGGAACAACTTTTCTCAATGATGGAACAGACTTCCACATTGTTGGAACAATTTTCCCGTAATGCGCAAAACCTTATTGCAGATTTTAAATAATTCGAAGGATCAGTGTACGCGCTATCGATTGATGATGTCAGATCGATCACATAGATCGATCTGATCACTCTCACATCGATCTTGATCACTCTCACAGTTGATCATATGATGATAACACGATTAATCACTATCACTGTGCAGTTTAGGGTTTGCGCCGTTTTGGGTCGTGCGCCGTTTTGGGTCGTGCGCCGTTTTGGCCTTGCGCCGTTTCGGCCTGCGTCGTTTCGGTCGCGCCGTTTCGGTCGCGCCGTTTTGGCCCGCGCCGTAATGGGCTGTACCCATTCAAATTGACTGAGACCTCAAGAATTTATTTAAGGATTTATTGGCTCCCATACAAAATCTCTATTCCTTAAAATCGCTATTCCTTAAAATCTCTACTGGGCTAAAAATGCTTAAAATCTCTATTCCTTAAAATAACTATTCCTTAAAATCTCTACTGGGGTAAAAATAATTAAAATCTCTACACCGCGCAAATTGACGGTTGAGTCTCAACAAAAGTACCATCTGAATCCTTCGCTGGAAAAACCAGACTTGTTAATGGATATGGATACAATTGGTTTAAAATGGCTGCCATATCCGCCTGTATCCGCCTTAAATATCGAAAATATAAGACACGACTGCTTCGCTGCGGTCGTGTTCATTTTCCTTGCGTTGATCGTATCGAAGCGGCTGCTGTCGTCCTGCTAGACATGCCTGGCTGGGTTCATCCGCACAGGCATAAACTATACAAGCAAAATAATATCAAAAGATAATCCAGAAATCAGAACAATGTTTCCGCACTTAACGTTGATACTCAAAAGGCTTCAATGAAAAATAGACATTTTATCCTATATTTGGCAGTGTAGAGATTTTAAGGCATTTTCCGTGTAGAGATTATGAGGAATAGAGATTTTAAGGAATAGTTATTTTAATCATTTTTAGCCGAGTAGAGATTTTAGTGCATTTTAGCTGTGTAGAGATTATAAGGCATTTTAGCCCAGTAGAGATTTTAAGGAATAGAGATTTTGAGGGGATACGGATTTATTTATTTATTTGCGACAAATTGCCCGCGACAAAATGGCCGCACACAGAACAGCCGTTTCAGTTCCAGAATCTCGTGAGACAATCGGACAAGAGACTATTGGCCGAAGGACAAATAGACAGTCAATCGTGGTTAAGTGCAGATTTAAATTTGCTTGATCTCTTTGTTAATAATTTTTGTCAAGTTTTTTTAGGAAATATGAATTTTTATGGAATTTGCCGTTTACATAACAAATTAAATGCAACAAATATCTTAAAATGTCCAATTCGTTTTGTGCATCATCATAAAGAGCTTGAAGAACCGGGTGGATTCGAACGATTCATCGGTTGGCGCAGATCAAATGCACACAGAGCAAATAGACATACACAAGTGAATGAGGCCAAATATCGAAGGGTAATTTTTTATTAGTTTTTATATTTTTTGGACTGGGAATAACCTAAAGATTCTAGTATTTTTTCGCTGAATAATTCCTCTTTTTGGTATTCTAAATTGTTTCTTTAAATTTATCCTATTTTTGTAATTTCAGATTTGGGTTTTCAAAGAATTCTTTGAAGAATTTCCAAAACTGAGAAAAATTCAGAAGACTATGTGAAACTTCAATATTTTTAATAATTATTACTTGTTTATTTTTTCAGTTGAGAGGTGAAAAGCGATTATTAATAGAATTGGAGGATCATGTTGAGCAACAACGTATGAAACAAATGACCCCTGACCAATTGCGAATTTATTTATTACGAAAGGGTAAACCTAATATTTACGAAGACGCTTCTCCACGAGATTGGCAAGAACACCAAATTACTTACCAGTCATTATGTAATAAATAAAATTATTTAAAAAATTATTTTTTTCTTTTAGATGAAATTATGACCACTTATATTCCACCTGAGACATCAAAAATATCGCGACTTACGGGCTCTGGCATTAGTGAATTTTTTGAAGATGTTAAAGATTATTGGAAAGATAAGTATGGAACGTTAATGGGATATGGTTTGAGAAGGATACGACGGAAAGAAGGTCTTAGAAATTTTGAGTTGAAGGTATTGACTTAATCATATATAAATCTTGGTACTCCCTCCCCCCAAATTTTCTTTAAAGTTCACATAATGGTCATTTCACTATAGTTTCCCAGTAGCATTATTCAATCAGTCAATCTTCCCACTATTTGTAACGAGAGAAGTTTATAAGAGGAAGGCTGGCTGATTCAATAATGCTACATGGAAATAATGTGAATTTATAGCAGGAAAAAATTCTGACCATTATGTACACTTTAAAGAAAATTGTGTGGGGGAGAGAAACGACATAAGTACCTTAATTTTAATAATTTTTTTTAATTTAAAGGATTTTCTCAAAGAGGCGGAAGATATTTACAAATCAGCTTTTCAGGCGTTGGCAAGTCGTGATAAAATTCTTTTACATGGTCTTGTTACAGAATCAGCTTTTTATGTAAATCATTATATGTATAATTATTATAAGAAATATGTTTTTTAGAAACTTTGGCCAGATGTGGAGAGAGGAACACTTCGGTGGGAACATATTCGATTTAATGAACCGTCTGTAGTTGTTTCTGTTAGAGTTACTGATATGCCGCCTAAATCTGGCAATGACATTGCACAAATTGCTGTTCGTATGCATACTACACAGGTTTAACAAATTTACTTATTAATTGGAGGACTTGAAATAGCCAAATATTTTGTTATTTTTTATCTTAAACTTTTAAAGAAAATGGCTCTTTATGATAAAGATGGACATTTATTATTGGGATCAGAAGATGAGCCTAGAGAAGTGCTCGAATATGTTGTGTTTGAAAATCACATTTCAAGTGCTGATGGAAAATGGCGTTTTCATGGACAGGTTTTTATACTAAAACTAATCAATCCAAAAATTATTTTTAATTAGGTTGTTCCACAATGGGCAAAATCAAAGCAATCTTTACATAATCATCCAACACTTGTTGCAAAATCAAAAGAAAAGGGAAATTTTCCTGACAAACTTTTACGGCTACAAATAGATGCGCAATCATCTACAAAGAAAAAGCAAAAAGAAGCTGGTGATAAAATGACAGGATGAAAAACTTTAATTAATTAAATTGCATTAAATATATGTATCTCTGATATTTTTTTGTTAAAATATTTTATAAAAAATTCCAACGATGCTTCACGTAATCAGATTTCGTTTTATTTTTAAATACCATCTAAAACATGCTTTTTTGTAATTTATATTTTTTAGTTAAATTGACAGATTTCTCGCTACGTATTAACTTGTCACATGCTCTTATTGCCAGTCGATATTGCCAACCTCTTAAGGCCTTGTGTTATTTTTCTTTTCTTTATTGTCAGCCGTAACACTAGCTGTCGCTTGAGAGTAAAATCAATATTTTACGTATTCGTTTTTCATTTCTTGTTGGTTGGACTTTCAACAACGCTTGTTTAATGGCCTTGCCGACTGAATGAATTTCTCATGTTTATTCTTCTTTCATTTACGGTTTGATGTTAGGGGTAAATTTTTTATATATTTTTACTTGTTGTCATGTAATTGAATTTTTTCATATTTATGTATTTGATGTTGCCTGCATATTCTAATATACCTTACTAAATATTTTTAAATTTAGAAACTAATCTTAAACATTTTGACTTTTATTAAACCTACCTAAATTACTAATGTCCTCTTCTGAATGCCGATTATTGGCGCGAGCAGTACCATTACCGTCAAAACAAAAGGTAGGATAATTTATTATAAATTAAATTTATGTAATAGTTAGGCGATCCAAAAGCTTCCATCTTCCGGCAAAAAACGGGAGGCGGGAAACTGAAACTTTCTTCATGATTAATTGTTTTCTTTATAGATTGCTGATGATTCAACTATAATTGACTCATTGGTCAATCAACTAGAGTCAGCCGTGATTGATTCAAAAAATGTTACTCTTCAAAAAACAAATAAAATTCTAAAAGTTAATGAAGAGAGTTCCGCTAATTCTAGTGAGAAACGATGCATTGAGCGTACTGAAGAATGCATTTCACCAGCGGATCATTTGGCTCTCCAATCATTACGCTCTTCGGCACTTGCCCGAAAGACAAATACAACAGCCAAATTCAGTCGTAATTGTCGTAATCTCTTTGCCGATTTAATGTTTGGCGAAGAGCAGAAAAAGAACCAAA